AATAATAATAATAATAATAATAATAAGCTTAGCAAAAGCAATCACAGAGAGGAACATTGTGAGACAGCACTAGTTTTAAGCCCCATATTAAGTATCTAAAAAATAAACACCTTGATTCTGAAGTCTCGTTATAGAACTTAAGCCCCAAACACTTACGCTGTCTGTGAACTCTCCCTTCTCTCCCTGTGCAGTCCAACAAAGCTTTCCAGTTCCAATAACCCAGAGTGCAATGTTGCTTATGTATTAATCTAATATTCCAATAAAAATTCTCTTCCAGCTGGTTATGTTTGCATATTTCTCATGTTAGATTAATTGTGTGATTCGGGGCAGGGGGGAGTTATGTGTGCCTTTTGATAATCACAAATGTTAATGCTTTAAATGTTGACTTTGGACTAATAATTCTGTAAATTAGAAAAGAAGATTTAAAGCTGAACTTTTTAAACATATACATAAATAAAACAATTTTAGCCAATTCATTTAGTATTTTGAATACTTTATTTGTATTAACACTAATGGGGCTGTTCTTAAAAGTCTGCCTAAGAACTGGACATTACACAAAGTAAATCAGAAAGCTGGATTGAAAAGCAGATATACTTCCATAAAAGCTTATGTTTAAAATTATCCCTTGAAAGCCCCACATGGCTAGGCTGTAACTGCAAACTGCTTAAATGTTTTTCTGTTTCCCATTGTATACCAGGGAGCCGAGATAGAAGTGGATGAAAATGGCACATTGGATTTAAGCATGAAAAAAAATCGAATCCTGGACAAGGCCGCACCCCTAACTTCCTCTAACACCACCGTTCCAACACCTTCCTCTTCCCCCTTCAAAACGAGCAGCATTCTGGTCAATGCAGCGTTCTATCAGGCTCTCTGCGACCAAGAGGGCTGGGAGACGCCTATCAACTATAGCAAAACTCATGGGAAGCCAGAGGAGGAGAAAGAGGTATTGTTTTAATGTCCATCAATAAGCTGAAGATGAGTGTGACTACAGAGTATTGCTAGCTTTTTCTTCCTAAATCATATTTTACATTCCTGTTCTCATACTACCCAATTCTCTTCTTTGGTTTAGGTTTTGATAAAGTGATGGTTTTTACTTTGAGGTGAGATTTACAAATGAACCCAGCTTTTCCTGTCACTTGCCTAAAATAATACATCATTCTAGTAAATTTTATTCCCATGGTGTTGTCGGTTGTCTGAACTACAAGAAAGAGTCTCTGTCTCTTATTTAGCAATTTGTAGGCAGCAATGCACTGCTCAACATGGAAATGCCAACTCATTAGTCCTTTCTGAACCAAAGGGTCAAAGGTGAAATCCAATCAGAGACAAGCCAGAATGTTGAAATTATGTCAAGTCCATTTTATGTTATGAAGGGGCTGCACTGGTATAGTTATGGAAAGAGTCATCTTCTGAGATATCAGATCATAAGTGTTAGATGTCTTAATTGTATTGACTCTGAGGTCAGGAACATATTTGTACACTTGGTCATCTCAGAGGTGGTTTCACCCCAAAAATCAGAACTTGTGATAGAACAGGAGCCCATGTAGCCTTCCTTCCCTCTCTGGGCCCCCTAACTTGATCTGATTGGCCACAGTCTAGTACTGTCACTTAAAAGACTTGGCAGCCAGTACCCCATTCTTTAGGCTTTACGTGATTGGAGGTAATCCTAAGGATTAGAGTGAATGGTCCTATTTTGGTGTCAGAAAAAATGTTGATGGACTCACTAGTTGATTTGCTTAAACCAAAATGTCAATTCTTTGCAGACGTGTGCACCATCTTTTTCAGCTTTTTGATTTTAAGAGACTTGGGGGGTCTAATGTAATTTTTGCTTTTACAACTTAGCATGTGAGTTGACATACTCAGTCATGATCACAAGATTGGGCTGTTTTCGCATCCTTCCTCCCTTCCTTCCTCCTTGTCTTCCTTCCTCCTCCACACATTCATTGGCATCTTTACATCCAAGCAGTGAGATAGATCCTGAAGGCTTAGCAACAAATAGGACATGCTTTACCATCTACAAGCACCTTGGCCACATGTGTGCCAAATACAGCGATAAACCGAGTGGCACAGTCAGGGTGTCAGAGATGGGTACCCAAACAAATCAGCACTCCTAGGATCTGAGGCACATCTTGTGTCCCCCCATTCATGCCATCATGTGGAAAGATGAAAGGAATCACAAGCAGTGTTCGATTAGACTCTGTCCTGCTACTGGCTTTAGTCTTTTTTTAAATACACCTAAAGTATCTCAAAGTGGTTTTAATTAATTCATCATAATATGTACTATAGGTATGGTAGATATCCTTTTCTAAAATACTTGGGACTAGACTTCGTTTAGACTTGGGAGTTTTTCAGATTTTGGAATAATTACATAAACTATTAGAGAAGCATCACTAACCCAAAAGTCTGAGATCCAGAATCCAAAACTTTATGAGTTTTGTGGTGGTATTTTGGATTTTAGATTTTCAGATTAAAAGTGCTCGAACTGTGTTTGTAGAATAAACTCCTATCAAAATGGTACAATTATCATTTGGTACATCTGACGACGTTAAATGTAACACTGGCATGTGATAAGTAAAAATGTCATTTACCTTAAATGATGATCATGAGCTGGCAGGGTGTATCTCTTGTTTCCATCACAGTGGCCCATTTCCTTCTCAAGCGTGTGGGGAAGAACTAAAGTCACACCTGATTTCTCCTATCTCAAGATTTGTCAGTAATCACCTTACTTGGTCATTCTGCACAACTTCTCTGAAATGGAAGGAAGGAGCAAGACAGAAGCAGATCAAGATAGTTGATACCACTGCCCACCAGGTGGCTTTCACAAAGGGAATGGCCCTCCAATTCAGTCTCCAGCCAGTTGACTGCTGCCACGGCCTGCAGGGCTGGAGGGTCCATGGAGGGAGAACGGTGGGAGATGAAGAAAAGACAAAGAGATGCAAAAAACTGAGGCTAGGTAGAGACTTCCTCCTGATGAGAAAGGAACTGGCTGGCAACTGCAGCAAGTTCGTTTATAGGGTAGAGATAAGGGAAGTGCAGGGGGAGCTGAAGGGGCTGATCTGTAACCAGAACAAGGAGAGCAGCTACTCTCTGCAGGCTTCGCACTTGGCAGTTTTATGGGGGAAACGGAGGGACGGGGAGGAAGGCACATCTCTGCAGGGCCTTTCTCCACCACACCATCTTGTCCACCTGTTCTTCTCCCAGGGGGACCCTGCCTCATCCATAGAAGGAAGTCAACAAGATGTGTTTTCCTAGTTCCACCAGGGGCCCGGCCTCATCTGTGGGAGGAGGCAAGTTAGGCCCTGGCCTAGTGATCTACAGCGTAGCTCCCCCTGCAGACTGCCAGTAGGCTCCCAGCATGATACCCATTCCTCTATGGGAAACCTATCCTTGGGTGTGAGGTCTGCGGGCATGGGTTGAGAAGCCAGTGTGTTTCACAGAGGATAGTGCTTTATGGAGTAGCTGTAAGTGCATCCCTGCCCTTGCATGAGACACATAGAACCAAAATCCTAACTTATGCTGGCTCCTGAGAGCATCCCGGTGTCAGGTGCTGAGTAGCATTGTGTTTTCTGACTTCATCCATGTGTCAGTGTTGGAAATGGACTTTCTTCAACCCATTCTCTAGAGATCTCCCTCCTGTATTTGTACTCAGTGTCAGACAGACAGACCCAATCTTGAATAATAATAAGGTACATTTGCATCAGGTGGGTTTTCCACTTCATGTAGGGTATCTTATATTGTCTGACATTCATTTTATTTTTGTGTCCTCAGCAGCAATGCTAACATTGCACCTTTATATTCTGAGAGCCCTTCCTTGGCTATCCTTACTGCCCCAGGAGTCAGAAAATAAGTTTCATGACAACTGCTTTATCTTTATTTTCCAATCTCATTTTTTGTATCAGGATTCGTCTTGGCAGCTTTATAGTTTCAACTTGAATATGTTTTTATCTAATGCAGATAGATTTTTCATTTTCTTGAAAAAAAATGACCGTTTCATTTTCTTGCAAGGTTACAAAAAATAAAAATGTTTCTTTAGACTAGATTTTTTTTTTCAAAATGACTTATGTTATATCAGTTCTGATAGGATAGTTTCTTTATGGCTGCAATTTCTGTGTTGAGTATTCTGATGTCTGGGATTTAGAAGCTATGTTGGAATCCCACACCACTGAGAGTGGCAAGGAGGAATTGGGAATGCTAAATGTATTCTTGGACTCAAAGTGCTTGTCTTAGGTTTGAGTAGGCAATACTGTTTCAAGCTAGATGCTTATTGTCACAGCTATGCGCACTGGGTGATTCATTACTAGTGGAAGCTACAGTTGATGGGGATAGATACAAAAGTGCTTCTGAATCACTGTACTTCCTTTGTTCAGTTTCTCACCCTGTTCTTTGTTCCCTTATTATCCCCTATGCCTACGTAATTTACTATCAGTGTTTTTACAAACAGAGAGTATTTTCCACATACTGTTCTAAGTCTTGACAATAACAAATGTGAGGTTTGTAAGACATTATTTTGAAGAGGTCGATTGCATTCGGTGTTGTCATGGAGGAGATATCAGGAACATATATGCAATGAGAATAAACACAAGGAATCTTTATGTATAGTGTCTCATTTTCCCAACAATTCTGCAAAGCAGGATTGCGACCATGTTTTTTAGAGAAGAAAATTGACACTGAGGGAGGTGCCATTGTTGGTTCTTAACCATACAGAAATTAATGGGCCAGGACATCCTGAAAATGAAGAAGGAAATGGAGGAACATGGAGAAGACAAAGAAAAAAACATCACCCAGAGGTGGGGATAGTTGAGGAAATATTAAGAAAAAAATGAAAGAAGAAGAAGAAGAATGAAGAGATGCTGTGTGGCTACCTTTATCTCAGGTGCTTTCAAGGACACAGGACAAAAGCCCTCAGACTCAGGCAGGTCTCCACGATGTGACCCCAACAAGACATCATAACCATTGAGAACCAGAAATGCTGTGTTCCTACTCTCACCTTGTCCTTCCCTATGCCCCTCTTCTCCCTCCTCCCCAAGCCACACCACACATGACACCCATACAACTAGAAACTAGGTGATTATTTCTAATTCATTGTTATCTAGTTCATGTGCACAACAGTTGCTTTATTTTGGTGGTAATTTTCAGAAAATATTGTCTATCTCTCTCAGTGAAATAGCCTGTCCAGATGCCCCCTAAAAAAAATCATGAATTTGGAAAAAACTCAAAATAAGTTGAAAGGAAAGTACTGAGAAATAGCTAGGGCTGTCAGTTTCATTCAACTGTCAGTTCTCCAAAGATTTCAGGGCTTCAAATGTTAAAAGTGCCAGATGCTATTATCTGTTATTCATGTTACCATTATGTTCTGTCTTTACTGAAATCAATATAAACTTCCATCTGTACATTAAAGAATTTTATGGAGTGTGTATGCTCTCTAAACACACATTTATGCTGTGTTCTCTTTTACCTATCATGCACAGGATAAAATTATTATTTTCAAAATAAAACTTTAAATATTGGATAAAGGATTCTCACAAATGCAATTGAATTATTCTACACTGGGTGCTATTTAGGAATTCATCCAGTATCAAATGCTTCTGTATAGAACTAATCTAAGAACTCTTAACAATGGCCACCTCTGTTTTAATACACATACTCTCTGCAAGCTTCCAGGAGTGGAATGTTAAGCAAAGAAACAGGGAAAAGGCAGTTATTTTAAAAGCAATTGCACACATAAGAGTTTATAATTTTTTAAAGTTATGAAATATTTAAAAGGTCATTGGCAACAAAATTATGCTATTGAACTATTGCCACATATTATTATACCAAATTAAATAACATCCTGCTAGCATAATTTTATATGTTTAGTCCAATAAAAATTTGAACTTTCATAATTGATCATTTGTTTTCAAGTTCTTCCATTCTCTTGCCTTCCATAGCATTCAGATTCAACCCCAGACAATAGCTGCAAATCTTTATGTTTTCCTATATAAATACACATGCCTTTTTAGAAACTATGTGCTTTAGAGTAGGGAACTAATGAATTTATTCTTTTTACTTCATACCATTTTGTGAAAAAGTCAGCATCTAAACAGAAGAACAAAGGCTGTTGGATACTGAAGCAATATTGGATTTAGCTTTTGCATCTACTTTGAAAAAGCCAAGACATTTCTGAATTAGAATCAAAGTTACTACCCATGCCAAATTCAGATTGTCCCAAATGGAGTGGATAGTGGAACAATTGAGCTCAAAGGCTTTAAAATTAGGACATGTTTTACTTTAGCCTTTTACACGGTAAAACTTTAAAAGGATAAGTTTCAATCATCTGTCCTGCAGTAAATTCTGTGTAGGTGACATTAAATAACACCTCCTTTTGCATCCTGGTATATAAGTAGCATGAAGTACACTTTTCTCTTGACTTATTTTCAGTGGGGATTGAACTCAGGGCCTTCTAAATGAGCTGCCTCTGCAGCCCTCTTTACTTTCTCCTTTTGAGACAGAGTCTCACTAAATGAGCTGCTCAGGCAAGGTTTAAACTTGCAATCCCCTCACCTCAGCCTCTGAGAGTGCTTCTTTTTGCTTTTAAATGGAATGTGTAGCATTATAAACAATATGGGAAAAGATGCTGTACCAAACCAGGTTCTATTATTTTGATTTGAAAATAGTCTCACTTTCAATGGTTTATCATTGTATTTCCTATAGCATACTTGTATGTAAAATGATTGATTTGTTTATCCAAGTAATGAATGAAACTACATTGGCCCTGATGACAAGATCAATGTTTAGAATTTTTATTTCTAAAATCAAGAGTTTTTTTCTGTTATCTTTGAATGTTAGCCTCAGAATTATTAAAATTATGCGGTAGCATTTTATATCCATGTAATTTAAAGAAATCTTACTTTGGATGACTCAAAATCATGAATTCATCCTAATTAGATCAGTGCTTTCAAGGTTTAGAATATACTTTTCTATATTAGTTAATCTGATGTTAACATTAGTCTACAAAGTATTATATTTACTAGATATAGCCTTAATAATGAAAACAAGCTGATTATCCAATTTAGGAAAATCATTTGAGTTTTATGTGGGATAACACTTGGTAGATAAATGATTTGGAAAGATTAGTGAGCTTTCCTTATGGGGTCAGAATCAACATTAACTTTAAAAGACCATGAAAATGAGTGCTGTCCAATAAGAAATTCCACCCAGTGAATGAAGACATTACAAGATATCAACCTAGAAAAAAAGAAAAACAGGAAGCAACATGAAAATAAGAACAATTATCCAGAAAAATGAAATTAGCACCTAAATACTGTGGCCTCAAGCTATTACATATTTAAATGAAGAATGCAGATCATGATCAATTGTTTATTGAAATGAACATTTTCTAAACCTAAACTTCTTTTATTTTAAAATCTGTATGATTTATTTTTTTCTTGTTTTTAAATTTTACTGCTGTTGACTGCTGAATATGTAAAGAACTATTCCTGTATTTTCTGGGGCATGTTCATTGTACAATACAACTTAAACTCAATTAAATTTAATATGTTAATTTATATCGTTCAAGGAATGCCTCTGTAATTGTATTACCTAAGATGTGAAATTTTTAAGGTGCTTTCATCAATCGTAATTTCTCATTTTCACTGAGGATAAAGATTCATAACAATTAGGAAAATATTCTTTTACTCATGATCTTATTTCTTATACAAGTCTTTTTGCAATTTCAGCTAAATCTTCAGATAAATTCAGATATGACTCGTATGACTTCAAATCCAGTTGTCTTTTTAGAGTGCCCTAATGATTCTGTCTCCCTGCCCCCTCATTTTTTTTCAGAGAGACAAAAACTCTCTAGAAAATTTAGAAGAAAAAAAGTTTCCTGGAGAAGCCTCTATACCAAGCCCTAAACCCAAGCTCCATGCAAGAGATCTCAAAAAAGAGCTAATCACGTAAGTGGTATCCACTGCTGTGTCTTGTAAGATTCTGAAATGAAGAGAGCGAAGTTTATAATTTTGGATAATAATATTTTGGCCTATACATTTGACTTTAAGATAGTTTTAGGAGAATTTCAACTAGCCAGCAGTTAAATGTCCAACATGTACCTAAACGTATGCATTAAGCTGAGCAGGCTGTTAAAAAAGAGTGTAGAAAAAAAAGTGTATAGGGGATATGGTCTTATGCTAAGGAAAATGAAACAATCTGTTGTTTAAAAAGTAAAATAAATTGGAACAATTAGAAAAGTGTGTTTTGGCCAAAGTTCTCAACTGAGATCCATTCATGCTAAAGGATTTAAGGCGTGGCTTCAGAGAGTTAGGAGTGATGTAACTAACAAACAGTCTATGAAACTTGCTACTTGGGTTAGACAGTGAATAATTTTCATTACATCCTCAGAGGGGTACTTTGACCTAGAAGAGTTAAAAACCCATTATTCTGATTTGATCATTACACAATGCATACTTCAAAGAGTCACATTATATTCGCTAAAATATATATAATATAACAATTGCTATATTATATTAAAACATACCAGTTTCAATTAAAACTAAAAACAAAATAAATAGACCAGGGCACCCAAACACAGTAAATGCTAGTTGTGTGCCTGTGAGTGAGTGAATTAATGAAATTCAGGGAACTATTTTTAAAATGTTTAAATATTAATGAAGTATACTCAAACACAGATACATTTATAGCTACTAATTAATGACAGTATTCAACCAACAATAACTTTTCCACTTAGGCACCAGTGCTTATATGCTCTGCTCTGTATCCCTCTGTATAAAATACATTTACAATTTTCCAATAAATATAGATTTAAAAACTTTTCATGCCCTGGGAGACTCTCCACCTGAACTCCATTTCTGCTCTCATTTATAGCTAAACTCCTTAAAAAAGTTGTCAATAGTGTGTGACTCAGTTTCCCTCCTGAATGTTTACCAAATAGACTTTCACTGTCATCACTCCACCCAAACCACCATTGTAGTTGATTCGTCTGAGACCCCTCCCTTGTTCTGGCTGTTGGTCCTTGATTCTCCTGTTCCTGTTGATGGGACAGTGGGATTCCACCAAGCTGACCTCACCTTTCTCTGTGGTCTGTAATCTGCTATTCACCCTTGGCTTCTAAGTCGCTTCACCTTGGGGCTTTCATTCACTGAAATTCCTTCCTGGACTCAGGCTCTGCCCTCTAAATTTTGGGATGTTTCAGACCTCAGTGGTAGGACCTCTTCTGTCTTTCATCTACACGCTCTGCCATCTGCACCTTCCCTGTGACCTCTGGATGCATACACACTGGCCCACAGGAGCAGTGAGCTCTCCCCTTCCCTCAGGCACTGCCTTTTTCCTCCCTTCCATCCTCCTCTGACCCCTGACACACCCCAAATGCACCTTCCCTAAAGCCTCCCAGATACTGCTCTCTCTGACAAAAGTTCTCCTCCGAGGCCCACCTCCTCTCCCTCAGCTCTTCTCGAAAATGGCCCTTACCTGTGAGACCTTCCAGGTATGCAGATCTTCACCCCAGCCCTGACACTCCATCTTCTTTCCAGATCCTTTCCTCGTCAGCATTTAGCACCATCTAGCACACGTACAGTACCCATCTGCCTTCACCTCTGCTATCTGTTATCTGTCTCCCTCACCGAGAAGGAGCCCAGATGCTCTTCTGCCCTCATGTTCTCTTCTTTACCTCCTCTACACCACTGGTGCTTGTTATGTGCTGTCCGCTTCACATTTCCCCATCTGCATGCACAGTGCCTGGGATAGAGAACACATCTCAAATGCCAGCAATGCCAAGTATATAAAGGGCCTCAAAAATGGCAAGCACACAGTAGAATGATTCCTAGTCCAGCATCCGTGTGTTGTATCAGCACGAAAGTTGCTTTTGAAAGCTTGAATTTTGCATTCCTTAAGAATTTCATAGACAAGCATTTCTGGCTAAAACATCACGTGCCCGTATAAGTCATTATTCGCGTGCTGCTGGGTGGTGGCCACATGACCTACAAAACACACTGCAACTTAAATTTCCCCAAACATTGTTTCCTTCCAAGAGGTCACTTATGTGAGCCACTTATTACCATTTGGGCCTGCTACTCAAGTTTGCATATCTTTGTATAGCATCTCTTTCAAAAATTGAAAATTTTTATTTTTGAAAATGGATTGTTGGGAATTGCCAAAAGCGATTGCAAACTAAATGTCAATAGTACTCAGCCATAAAGAATGAGAAATTAGAGTCATCCATAGCAAAATGGATGCATATTGAGATCATACTCTTAAGTGAAATTATAAATAAGTCACATGTGTAAATACCAAATAGTTTCTCTGGTGTGAAAAACTTAAAGTGTAAATAAGATCCAAACGGTATAATTGACAATGTGAAATAGGAAGAAAAGGGCTAAAGGTGTAGGGGAAGTGGGAAGGGAAGGGAAAAGGAAATGAGGGAAAAGAAAAAAATGAAAAAATGGAAAAAAGTTTTTGTAAATAGGGAAGGGAGGAGGGGTTGAAGGGAGGGCAGGGGAATGGGGAAAAAATGAGAACCAAGACCTGTCATGTAAAGGTACAGGATCCCAGTGATGAATGTAACACTACTGAATACTAAAATATACCAATAAACTCAATGAGAAAAAAAAGATCGATGATTAATATGTAATATCATTTGGAGTGATTGAAAAATGAATGAAATGAATGTAATTTGTAATAAGTACTGCTTGTGGGTATTAAGGTAATAAAAAAAGAAAAGTTTCAAAAAACTTGAACAATTTGTATAATTGATAACTGAATTATCAAGCAGAGATTTCACAGAGCACACATATTACAAACAGGATGGGTATCTTGATGGATATCACTTATTTAAATGTATCTGTGGTAAAATATTTGTTTTGTGAAAGTCATACTACTTTATAGTGTAACTCTGTCCTTATGATTTGCTTTATGTTTTAAGTAGATAATTATACTTTGCTTACCAGAAACTGTTTGGTAAGAACAGCATTTTATTTTGTCAGCCATCCTATAATTTGTAGAGTTTGAGCAGCACTTACTGAGGAAATTAGCTAGTTTCCTTCCTTTAGTTTTGATACTTTCCTCTGCAAACCTGAACATAATATATTGTCCAACTGGTATTGGTACATAAAACATTTTTCACTATAGATTTGGAATTAAATCTAGCTATCAAAATCCTAAGCAGAAATCTTTTCTACTATTATGTTACTAATTCTTTGTTTGGCCTTTTTCTATGAATAAAATTTTTAAAATTTTCAAATTAGTTTTCAGCTAATCAAATATATTTTTATTATATTTTGTAGGAAATTTTATATAATTCATTTTTAAATTACTGTGTCCTCTGACATTTTTGGCAATGTTAATAGGAATAATTAAAATAGAATAAAATATAGAATAAGTGCTGTTAAAGAACACTAGGTGGCAAAGTAGTAGTTCTAAAGTGGGAATTGCCAAGCAATTGAAACAGATCTCTCACCTCTAAGTGTTCCAGTTGTATGATGTTCAGGAAAGATTTTTCTGCATTTCATCTGGCGCTAACAAGATAACTGAGCTCTTATGTAATCGCTTTTAATTTTTTCTTTATTGTTTTACATATGTTTTAGCTTCTACACTTTCTTTTCTGACACCCTGTCCAGGAAAGGGACAAAAGAATTAGATGACTCAATTTAGATCAAGCCTTGAAAATCAGACATCCCTTTGCAGTTTCTCGTGCTCATAGTTATTTTTAGGTTACCTGAAAATGATTGGAAAATAGCTCATGGGAAAAGAAAACTATTTAAAAAGTGACAATTCAAAACATACTGGAATGTTGTTCATCAAGCCCAAATGTCTCTTTGAAAGGTTAAATTCTGTGTTCTTCATGTATAGAGACGCCCTTACTCTGGGAACATTGTCAGAGAAAATCAGATGCAGGAATGACGTAACTCATTTTCTCTCTGATTCCTAACACTGCCACAAATAGCACTGAGTAGGCTGGGGTCAATCTGCTCACCCCTAATGAGTGACTTTCCAACAGCCTCATAGGAAATTGAAAGACTGAAAAACCAAATAATCTACTAATTGTGGAAGAAAAACTTCTAAGGATAACTACAATCTTGCACTGCTTTTTAAAACATGAAAGAAGCCTAGGTCATGACCAGTTTCTGAGATAAAGTGAAGCAGAAGGGGCTCAAATGGTGGTGGATAATCTTTGACAGATGGCCTAAGAGCCTATTCTCAGACTAATGGTGAATGGGGGATTGTCCTCCTTGGGTTATGGATGTATTAGTCCGATGTCCTGTCACTGGAACACAATACCTCATATCCAGAACTTAAAGAAGGACACGTGTAGTTTAACTCACGGTTTCAGTCGATTCAGTCCATGATCATCGGGCTCCAAGGCAGGAGCATATGATGGAAGAGTACAGCAGAGCAGAGATATGCAGTTCATGAAGGCGTGGAAACAGCGCCAGAGAGGAAGAGGCCGAGGACTGAATATATCCAAATCCATACCTCCATGACCCACCCAGACGCACCCAGAAGTGTGCTTTACTAATTAATCCCCTGGTGGCTCCTCAGTCAGTCAATTTAGTGTGATGAAGCTTAACCACCACAACGCTTTGGGTGAAATTACTTAAAGAGTTTTACCAACTAAACTTCTTGCCTACTTCTGTATACTGTCAGCAACTTTCCCACCTAAAGCATTAATTTTCATTTGAGTCAAAGATTTTTCTTCTTTTTCTACTGTTGGTATTTAAAATGTTTATGAAATTAGTATGTGATATGTACATATACCAACTCCCCACAATTAATGTAATCACTATCTACTGCAGACGTGTATTAAAATGTTTTAAATCTTTGTTAAGTGACTAGGTTGCTCAAAAACTTAGAAAAATTATTTTCTTGAATTTATCATATAATTGGTGCCAGGACTCCTAGGATCTGCTTTTAAGTATGGATTTCTAATGTTTATTTTTTATGATATTTATATTTTCAAAGAACTAGAATACTGTTGATTATTGACTCACAAAATCACTAAGACATACATTTTAATATTTTCACTTAATTCATTTGAATCAGAGAATTGGATAACATATTGGAAACAGATAGTTAAGGAAGCAACTCGACATGCTACGATTCTTAGGGTTTTTTAGTTCATCTACTGGTTCTTCTATAAAACCAATCTAAATCCTTGCTGTGCTAGCCTGTGCATCTTCTGTGCAAATATTAACTTATCTTAAAAAGGGGATCTACTCCCTAACCTATGAATCTGTGAAGTGCACTTGACTCTAATGATGTACTTTTCTGTCCATCAGCTGTCCAACACCAGGATGTGATGGAAGTGGCCATGTCACCGGCAACTATGCATCTCACCGCAGGTACCGTATGACCTCTCCAGTGTGGTTAGGGCAGGTCTTCATCATTTTGTGCTGTTGTAAATACATACTTTCACCCTTTCTTGGTTAAAAATGGCTTGTAGTCCAAGTCACAAAGTGAAAGTTAATGTCAGACTTTGGTCCTGCCTAGCTTTAAATAAAGACAATAGAATGACTTGGGCAGACCATTAACCTGGTGGAGGTGGCACCTTTGATGCTGGACAAGACATTAGAAAGATTAAACAGTGCAAAGCACATGATGCACCTTTCCATTTACCTTTTTCTTGCTATTGTTAACTTTCCCTTGGGGCACCAGATTGAGCTGTTATGCTAGGATCACCTGAGGCTGCTGTGGGGATGAATTATGTCAGCAATCACTGGGCCATTGAATTCTAGAGCTAGAGAATTTCACTGGACGAAACCATACATTAAATAACAAATCTGAGTTTACCAGAAGTAATTAAAGTGCCCACAAGTGAAGACTCAGAGCAGCATAGCCAAATTCAAACCCATATTTTTAATCCCCAACCCCCAGTTATTAATAATTTAACATGTCACAAACTCGGGATGCCATTGAATTAGATTTGTATGTGTCAGTATTGTATTTTTTTTTCTTTCTTCTCCCTCTGTAGTGTTTCTGGATGTCCCTTAGCAGATAAGACTCTTAAGTCCCTCATGGCTGCTAACTCTCAGGAGCTTAAGTAAGTGTCAGGAGGCATGACTTCTTTAGCCTTTGTCCCCCTACCCGATAGGAACCCCCTGGTCATCCAGTGTCAGTGTGATCAATGAATAGTAAATTATACTCAACTAAATAATAGCAAAGCTCTCTTTCATGAGAAAGTTGGAATGACAGCAAAAATTGTAATCTAGTTAATTTGTTTGCTTTGGAGGCCTTATATAGTATATTGTAGTAATTTTTTTAAGGAATGATGTAATTGCTAAATGCAATACATTTTTTGTTGATTTCAGACCTATGAATGTGTGTCAAAGCACTTCCATCATCTAATTTTAAGAAAATTGATTAATATTTTACTTTATAGACATTTTAGATCATACAGCTACCTTTCACTTTTGGATGCTAAACACAATTTTGATTCATTTCTACCCAGTTACAAGATCTCAAGTTTCATGTGCATTAATATTTACTTATTTATTTTTTATTTTTTCCTTTTTTATTCTAAATTTCATTTGCTTGATTTTATTACATACAATATAATCAAATAGTTAAATTCATTTTACATCCTTGATAATGAACCAACAAAAACATTTGGAATGGAGTAAAACAGAAACAGTAAAGAGAACTGTGAAATATACATTTCTCATTTTCAAAATGTTATGTACAGTTTACTATCAGTATAGATTTTAGAAATCATTTCACTGATTACCATTTTTCTACATTGAAACATAAGAAAGTTGAGTCATAATTAATAATTCACCAATTGAAAAGTGAGATATACCAGAATAGTTTAATTATTCTCATTGGTACATCTTGTATGGCTACTGGGTTTATTCAGTATTTTGTCTAAACATTATTTCAAAAGTAGGTAATATATTGAAATCATGTAGATTGAGAAGTCCTATTGCACTACTTAACATTTATGTGTTTTTTGCCAATGTCAAATAAGCAATATTTCGGACTTTCCACACAAGAAAAAAGACATTTCATTGACCCCTTGTTCAGATATTCAATGAGAAGTTCTTTAAATAAAAAAACTATTTAGAGCAGGAGTTTCCATAATTACAACATGCTAATAAAACACTGTTGCACTAAAAAGTGTTAGTAGAAAAAGATAAGCACACAAGGATTCCCTACAATAGAGAATACACAGCATGTCTTTAAATGGTTAAATAAATGCTCAATGCAAGTTACTCCCATCAGCTAGAAGAATATTGTTCTGATTTTCTATTTCATTTGGGCGAAAAAAAGCATTTATCCCTTTTTTGTGCCCGTGGATTGGTTGTAAAAGCATTCCATGAAAGTTTATAGGGATTAAGTTTAAGGAAAAGAAGAGTACTCACAATTTTTTATCAATTTTTGCTTTTCTCAGCTAGAACTCTTTTTTGGGTGGAGATTTGAACTATAGGGAACATAATGTGAAATAATAAATGAAGGTGATTCATACTAAAACTTTTCAGAAAGTAAATATTTTTGATGGCCTCTGTTTTTATTTATATTGGGGATTTTAATAAACAATAAAAAGAGGAATATCTGTACAAACTCTTGTTTTTTAATGTACTTTGAAACCCATTCCTAATCAGCATTCCAAGCAGAAGTGTATTCCTCTTCCTTTGTCAACTTTCTGATTCCAGATTTAATGGTTTACTATGGATAATTAGTTATGGGAAGATTTTCCCAAAGACCAGTTAGCTTGGGCCATGAGGCAGGACAGACCAGGAGCAAATTATTTAAGTTCTCTACTAATCATATTAATGCTCCACGTCCCTTTGAGTTTACATATACCAGTGTTGTTCATGTGAAATTTGGTAGGACTGCCTATCAGAGAAAATAAATTATTCATAGAAACAATCTGGAAAAGTATTCTTCTTACATGAAAGATAAGATCTTCATATGATGTAGACAGAAGCCCTGCAGTAAGTTGTGGGCTGATTTTCAAGTTCCTTCCAATACAAGACTTTTTAAAAAATGTACAATAAATAGCAACTAATACTTTGTCTGCCAAGAGTCCCACGGTAGTTCCATATTTTAGAATTTTTTTTCAAAAATATATTCTTAACCAAAATCTAATCAGATTTAAGCAAAAATAAAGGAAAAGAAAAGAAACATACCTCGAAAACCAGCCCATTCTGTCCAGTTCGACTAGAATGTGTCTTAACTCCCTTTCCCCCTCTAACCTCTTGGCCCACACTCTTTTCCTGTGTCTTCCAGGTGTCCAACCCCAGGTTGTGATGGCTCGGGGCATGTGACTGGAAACTATGCTTCCCATAGAAGGTAGGCCTGACCCTGCTTTGAGCTAGAAACCAGTATGTCAGCTGCAGCACGCAGTGAGATCTCAAAATGTTGCACTGTTGTTTGTTGTTGTTGTTGGTTGCACCTTTTAGCTTGTCTGGCTGCCCTCGTGCGAGGAAAGGTGGTGTCAAGATGACCCCTACGAAGGAAGAAAAAGAAGACCCTGAACTTAAGTAAGTGCATCCATCAGTGGTGGTATCAAGGGCTGCTGTAATGTGTTGGTTGAGAGGGTGAAGCCCAATTGGGGTACACTTGAGCCTAGAGAATATAGACACTATTAAACATCAGGGCTCCTGAAGGGAGTCAAAATGGAGCTTTGAGAAATTTTTCCCATTCATAGTTGTGTTTTCACATGTCTTTGACAATGGTAAAAGAAAAAGGTGAAGGTAAACCTTTTTCCAGGTTATTTTCTTCTTTTTTTGGTGGGGGATACCTGGGATTGAACTTGGGACCTTGTGCTTATGAGGCAGGCAGCAGCTAAAGGCAGACACTGAGCTAAACCCTTGGCCCCTTTCCAGTTTATTTTCAAAGATGCAGCATTTTGGAAGTGCTATAGAATGACAAATACATCAGCATCCCCCCCAAAATAACTATAATTTTGCATATGGTGAAATCGTACTTAGAGTCAATTTCTTCTTCTAAGGAATATGTCACCAAGTTTGGAGTAATACACACAGTATGGATACAGAAATAGAATTTTTTTCTCGACAACATTTCTAAATACAGTATTTAAACATTTGCAGTACCACAAACGATGTGCCATGTAGCAGTGATCAAGGTAGTTAACATTTTATACTCTGTGGCTTTGTCCAGAAACAATTTAATTTAGTACTTCTTTTTAAGAGTAGGAAGGACTTATTGAGAGAAAGATAGCTTCTGTCTAAGAGAGACAGAAGAGGGTCCACAAGGTGGACTGCCCCTTAATTTAGTACTTACACGAATAACTCAAAAGTTAAAAAGTGTAAACACAAATCAGACTCCAAAGATATATGGTAAATCAACTAAGTTCTATCATTTTTCCTACCTACACAATGGTATAATTGCACTTTCTACCCAATAGATGTGCAGTGACTATCAGAAGGTATAATACATGAAAATTGCTGAGCTCAGAGCCCTGGACCATTGTTACTATTAATACAATGTTACCTTGCTACTTAGTAGCATCCTTTAAAACTCTGTAATTTCATGCCTTTGCCTCCTGGATAGTATGGAACTGTTTCTGCCTGTTTCCCAGCTGGTAACATCTCCACTGTGTCTCTCTAGATGTCCTGTAATAGGTTGTGATGGCCAAGGTCACATATCAGGTAAATACACTTCACATCGCACAGCTTCTGGCTGTCCCCTGGCTGCCAAGCGACAGAAGGAGAATCCTCTCAATGGGACCCCTCTCTCCTGGAAACTGAACAAGCAAGAGCTACCCCACTGCCCCTTGCCAGGCTGCAATGGGCTGGGCCATGTAAATAATGTTTTTGTCACGCACAGAAGGTAATATTTGTTTTTTGTCATTTTGTGATTGGTTGTCACCTGGATTGCTTTGAGAATGGGGGTAAAGCCCTCCTAAGTGTCATTAATTATAGCACTTTAGATATCATAACACTAAATCTTGCTAAATAGGTATTTTCCTAAACTGAAGAACAAAAAAATAATGCTTTATCTATTTCTGAAAATTCACTACACAGTTTTCAAGTGCTCTAGAGATTGTGCATTTTTTTATTCTAAAATATTGGGTCTGCTGCTATTTTTAAATGGTTCAGTCTTTTAATGGTTCACTTCAGTTCCAAGTGGTGTTATCTGCTCTATTTTGTTATGTAATTGTAAACTTTCGCTTTACATACTTGTATCATTCCCTTCCTCTCATGCACTGGCTGAATTTCAGGCAAAAATTGTAATTATTTTGCTGCTAGGAAGATGTGACTCATCCACAGCAGCCAGAAATAAAAAGGCATAATGACTGCTAAGTGTAGAGAGGATCCAGGAGAAATGGAAAAGCCTTTTAGAGTTTCACAAAAACTTAATTCCTTTATCATTGCATGCTGTGTATTTCAAACAAGCCCATATTGGACAAGAGTAATCTTACTCTAGCTTTTTGGTTTACATTCTACCTTAAAGAAAAAAGCTAAAAGATTTGCGATATCTTTCTCCCATCAATGAGTCCCTCTCTATTCCTAAGCTCCACATGATGCTGATTTAAAATTCATTGAAGCCATGTATGGTGGTGCATAACTGTAATCCCAGCACTCTGGGAGAATGAAGCAGGAGGAATGAAAGTCTGAGCTCAGCCTGAACAACTTAATAACTTAGTGAGACCCATTCTCAAAGTTTGAAGGGGGCAGGGGCATAACCCAGCATTCTCTGGGTTCAATATTGCAACATATAAAATAAAAGAAAATGGGCTGGGGATTTAGATCAGTTGTGCCATGCCTGCCTTACAAGTGCAAGGTCCTGAGTTTGATCTCCAGTACCCAAATAAAATAACACAGTGAAGCTTTAGGAAAATTTAAAGTTGTTTTATGTAAGGGCAGTGTACAAAATTTTAGGAGCAGTATACAAGTGGAGCAAAGTTGGGGCATTTGGACACTGTTCATTTCTGAAGCTAGAGATCAAGGGCACCAGAAAAATAAAGCCTTCCAAGAATGGCTTATTTTGTGGTTGGCGTTGAAGCCTGCTTGTTGAGAAAACTTAAAATTTTCAAGTGGTTTATTTTTTATACCTTTCAGGTGCAAGCTCCACTGTCTCACATCTTGTTTTATTTTGAATTTTAACTATCATTTAATGTTCAGGAACAGCAGAACAAATTAAGGGTGTGAGGTACATTGCCTCACCTTGCCTCACCCACCATTTTGTCTTAAGAAGACAGATGAAGAAGTAGTTTAGTGTTACTTTCATAGATGCTTTAATAGAGTTGCAGAGTTGGTTAAAACCATGTAAGACACAATTTTCCTCCTTTCCAATATGGTACCCACACCCTGAAGGTTACAGCCAACACCTGCCAAACTTCAAAAGGAAAAGGAACTTTGAAATATTTTTCCTGCTCAGTCTTTAAAATTTAAGATTTGTTTTATATCCAGGATAATATAACTACACTGAAATATATAAAATTTCGAATAGCATTTTTGAAACCAGAAACCTAATTTTATAACTTCACTGTCTGCTTTGGTTCTAAATCATGTAACTAGGGACAGAAGCTTCATTAACTTTTACACAATACCATCTCAACCTAGAAATATGTTACAAGTTATCTAAACAAAACAGAGCTTTTTAGGAGAAGGAGGGGCCTTAACGAAATGTTACCATCCGTTATTTTACAAACTGACTCACTATAAGAACCCTTGAAAATCCACCTTGCCAACTAAATGTTCCTCGTACTCATGACCAGTTTCTGAGAACACAACATGTGACATTAAAACAAGACAGACTTCTTGCAAACTCTCTAGAGAAAGAAATAGTAATGAAGCTTATCTGGGCCGTGACTGACAGAAGCTTACGGGATGAAAGGCACAGGTTCTAAGTTCAGTCTGTGTCTCTCATTTTTTTCCTGTCTGGTATAAAATAATTTATCAACTTCCAAATTTGAGAAAACTAAATACACCCTCTATCTATAATATTACCTATCTCTATTATTCATGTTTTATATTATTATTTCTCATATTTCATAGAATCTTAATGTAGAATAATTTACTGCTCTTTAAAACTACAGTAATTCATAATTATTAATGGCTTTGCTCCAGAAATATTTTCTCCTATTTCACACAACATCACAAACATCAGATTGAGATGATTATTTTATGTGGGAAACAATATTTTAAATGGCTGATTACGGTCACTTTTATTTTGATCTTAAATTTGTTTAGACAAAGACATAGCAAAACTGAAACAGAATGAATGGCTACTTGGAACAACAAAACTATCTGATCATGGATGTTGGAGAAAAGGTTTTGTTCAATGTTGTCATTATCATATTGGTGCAATTTAAATAAAAGAGATGACATTAAAGGAAAGAAGCCTGCTGAAGAGAGCAAGTATTCAATGGACAGGGTTTTAAGTACCACCCCAGGATAATAGAGCACACAGGCACTTTGGGTCTCAACAGACTGCCAGCAGCTGTCATTATTCGCCTTTCAGGCTGGAGATTTTTTAAATGAAAAATGTTTTAACAGTTAAAAAATTAGAAACACTCCCATATCCAGACTGAATGTGGTCTAGGGAGAGTAGCAAGGTACTTTTGACTTTTGTTAAGTCATTATGTAAAGAGCAGACCACACTTTGCATAAAAACAGGAAGAACTAGATTAGGCTTTATTTTTCATGGAATTTTGACCAGTTAGGAAAAATTCTTATTCATAATCTGCATGTACAGTTTTCTGTTTACAGAACATAAAGTAGCCACAATAAAATGAAGGCTATGAATACAGCAGAGTAGCATTCTCTAACAAAATGAATTCAATCATGATAGGGCAGCAGCAATGAATATCTGTACTCCAATTCAAGGAAACAAAACAAAACAAAACATTTTCCATTACTGGAGGGCCTTTTGTCTTTGCCTTAATAGATAGTTATTGGTTATTTTCTACAACAAGACCATGGGTTTTGATATCATTAGTAGATAGACAAAAGCATCAATAATAGGTAGTGAATAAAACTTTTTAAATTTTTGTAAGAAATAATATGCATTTCACACATTAATACAAATTCTATTCTTACAGCTTATCTGGATGTCCTCTCAATGCACAAGCTATCAAAAAGGGCAAGGTCTCTGAGGAACTCATGACCATCAAGCTCAAAGCCACTGGGGGTGAGTGACCATCTCCACTGAGATCTCAACATAGCTCTGTGAAGGCTCTGCGTGTCAACACATGCACTGCACACACTATATACACGCTGCATTCATATGCAATGTTTATATGTGAAGGGAAATGTTTCCTCAGATTTAACTATAAAAAAGAGATTTTCCTGAGAATCAATTTCTTGCAGTTTTCACTTTTTTCTTCTTTTTTGATTTTTTTTTTTTTTCACAGTGCTATGAATTGCACTCAGGGCCTCATACGTGCTAGGTAAGAGTTCTACCACCAAACTACATCCCCAGGCCCTCTCCTTTCTTCTTTAATCTAAATCCCCAGAAGAGAAATCAGGAAATTGTATTTGATGGACACATAGAAGTTGTGTCCTTCAGTCTGAACTTTGTGTGTGTGTGTGTGTGTGTGTATGTGTGTGTGTGCGCACACACGTGCGCATGCACATTCTGGTGTAAGTTACCTAGAAATTTCAGAAACACAATTTCTCACATGTATATATTTGTCCCTTTTCCAAGTTAAGCTACAAGTATATGGTTACTGAGCTATAATGCAGATGCTCTTCTTTTTCTTTGGTTCTTTTGTGCTTTCCTATGATTCCTAGTCAACATTAACTCAGGCCTATTCGAATTCCATCAACAATCTTTCTAGAGCCTCTGAGGCATGATGGCAGAGCAATCGTTTTGCTTCAGAAATTTTATTTGATACTGATGATGCCTTTGACACATGATTGAAGTCAAACTGGGGCTTTTTCCTCCACTGTTACTAAGGATCAAATCCAAGGCTTTTTACATGTTTAACACTCACTTTACCACTCAGCACTACCACCCTCATCAAGACAAGAACTTTTCACGTCTGCCATTTTAATTCTCTCAAAGACTTGCTCTCTCCTTTTAATGCGAGCATGAGGAATTTTTTTCTGTTTTTGTGGCAGGGTCTCCCTGTGCTGCCTATGTTGCACAGACTGGCCTCAACTTTGTGTTCTCCTGGGATTCCCTTGCCTCAGTCTCCAAAATAGCTGGCCGTCCAGGAGTTTTGCTCTGGAGTTTTAAAAAGAGATTGTGCAGCTCCAAGAGAGTAAGGCCCTGTCCAATTACCCTGTCGCCCTTCTGAGGAGGGGGACCTTCACTTGTTTTAAATGGTCTCTTGGTGAGTCTCCCTTCTGCTCACTGCTAAGAGCAAGGAAGGGCACCACCCAGGAGAGGAGTAAACCCTTTGGATGTTGGGAACAGATCTGTGTCCTCCTGGCTTTCTTGCATCCATAGGCTCAGCAAAGGCTCTTTCTCCAGTGCTGTCACTGTCACCTGGAAATACTGCCCAGTCCTCAAATGACTGTGTCAACTGTCATTAAAACTGGGACAATTAATGTGTACTTATTTATACATCATCTTAATTCAAACAGTACTTAAAGGGCAAGAAGTGTGAAGCGACAGAAAAGAAAGCTACTTAAACATTAAAGAAGGTACAAAGGAAAATCAATGATAAGAAGTCAAGAGAAGGCAAGTCTGAGGATTACTAAAAAAATATGCAGTCCAAGCCATTTCACAGTCAGTAAATAAAGACCTCAAATCTGACCCCACTTTTTAGAAGTCAAAGCAAGAGGAATGTAATTACTATGAGAATCACACTGTAATAAGTGAGTTCAAAGCAAATCTCTTTCTAGAGTTGAGTGAAGGTAGCATATATTTGCTGAGAATCTTCATTAAGATAATACTAATCATACTTATACATAAACCACAGGGCTGCTTCTAGTAAAGATAAGTGATAAGCCAGGGGCATAACATCAAATCAAAATTGCCACATTGGTTTTCTTAAAGACTGTTTCTAGTCCTTAACAGTAAAATTAGGTTATCTTCCCAAGAAAAAGACATGCACTCCTGTGCTTTGTGGGGACAGTTGGACACTGTGTGCATTTTCACACTTGGGAGACCCATTCAGCTCTTCCCAGCTGGTGAACTAGTGTGTTCTGTGTATTGTGATGCATCATTCCTTGTGGATATTAACCCTCCTTACTCCTTTAGTAATGAAAGTGGTCAGATTTATATTGACTTATTTTCTCCTAAATAAAAAAGTAGAGTTTTGTTCTATAAAACAAATATTCAAATAAACATTTACTCAAGAAATACAGTAGCATTTGTTTGAAATACAATGGAATTCTTTTGTTTGTGTAACATGAAACAGTAATTACTTAAACCCCTCTTCTAAGTCTAGTATGCCTACTATATACAGGTATACACATCACTTGTATAATTATATGAAATGCAAAAAAAATACTATAAGTACATATCCACTAATTACACAAACTGGGCACAGATTAGTACCAAATAAAAGTTAGAATTATTGAATGAAAAGATTGTACTCTCTTGCTTTTCTATAGATGGACTCTTTTTTAAATGGAATTATTAAACAATTAAAATATTTTGTGGAAAATATTTTTCTTGATCAGCAGTGATACACACCTAGTCTAACATTCTAGTATAAGAATATGTGCAAAAAAAATTGGTGTATATTTTTATTGCTATTTCCAAAGCTAAATACCTGTGAATTAAGATAGCACTATAGTAGTCCCCCTGTATCTGTGTAGGATACATTCCTAGACCCTTGTAGGTGCCCAAAACTAAGAAAAAAAATATATATATCCTTAATTCAAACTATTTAATGGGCAAAAAGTATGAGGTAATAGAAAAGTTACTTAAAAATTAACTCAAACAAGATATAAAGAAAAATCAAAGATAAGAAGCCAAGATATATAACATATAAACATATCAAATACATTTTCTTTGTATACATACCTGTCATAGTTTAATTTTTAAATTAGGCATAGTAAAATATTTAAAACAATAAAATAGAACAATTATAACAATGTAATATAATAAAAATGATTTAGAACTTATTACTTTTGGCATTTGCCATTAATATTTTTAGGCTGCAATTGATGGTGGGAAACTGAGGCCACAGAGAGAGAAGCTCCAGATAAGGAAGACCACTGTATATTAAAGGTTAATGGAACATATTCTGGAACCAATGAGCTTATGTTTGAATCCCAACTCTTCCATTTACTTTGTACCTCAGTTTTCTCATCCATGCAATGAGGTCATAAATGTTTCTAACTCATGATTTTCTTAGAAGAATCAAATGAGTCATTGATTAGAAGAGAAAAGTGAAATTCAAAATCCAGGGCCTCCTTTTAAATGTAAAATGCCCCACCCAAGAAGAAATAAGGCTCTTAAAGATTGTGTTTATGGATAGGATGAATGTCTTAGTGGAAACAGACCAAGTAATTTTAAAAGGGCACAGAAGTTGACTAAACTTGATCCTGTGGCTAAAATACTTCCCCAAATCCTAGAAATCATGATAAAAGCATTAGTTCACTCATCCACTAATTACACAAAATTTATGGAGAGCCTGTCTTGTATTACATCCTGTGATGTTTCTTTTTTGTTATCTCATTCCACAGTGAAACCCTCCCATCAGTTGCAGGTGCCTATTGCTCCTGGGCGTCTTCCAAATGGCACCAACTTAATTAAGAGGCACAGTTATTGCTAGTCAGCTTTCCATTACTATAACCAAATACCTTATATAATCAACATATAAAGAAAATATATGTATACTGGCTTGCAGTTTTGGAAGTTCCAGTCCAAAATCTGTGGGTCCATTGTTTTAGGCCTGGGGAAGCACATCGTGACAGTGCATGGAGCAGAGCAAAACCTCTCACTTCATGGCCAGAAAGCAAAGGGAGATAGAAAAAGGACAAGGGGTCCCATAACCCCCTTCTAAGGCATATGGGGCATACCCCCATGACCCAAAGACTCCTTCAGGGCTCCACCTGTTAAAGTTTCCACACCCTCTCAATAGTAACTTCCTTTAATGCATGGGCCTTTTGGGGGACATTCACAATCCAAACAATAGCAGTTTTTTTCACTGAAATGGGGCATCAGGGAAACGTAATCCTAACCAAAACCAAGTACCAATAACCCTGTCTCTAATTTAAAGAGTCTTCCCAAAGGCCTGTGGCAGAAAGATCATAAGCTCAAGGTCAACTTGGGCTATGCAGTGAGGTCAAGGCTAGCCTACACTACATAATGAGATCTTGTCTCAAAAACCTTTTTTTTTTTTTTTACAAAGGAGTCCTCTCAAAAGCATCCATGACTTATCTGAAATTAAACTTTTAATTATCTTACTGCAGGTTGCTGCCCTTCAGTCTTCCTCATCGCAGATAGCCTTGTAGCACCACTTGCACCAGCAAAACCAAAGTTGCCCTAAATTCCTCTTTTCTTGCATCTTCTATCTCCTATCCATCGCAAGTCTTGCACACTCTACCTACAAATTCTGTCTTGAGTGTGTCTCCTTCTCTGTGCCGCCAGTTCTACGGTCCTGGTTCACAGGGCGATGGGACCTTGCCAAGACTCCCACAGTCGTCTCCTGATTTTCTGGCTGTACTCTGTCTCTCCTCCATCTACTGTCATCTCAAAATCCAAATTATGTTTTGAAAAGACAGCCAGAGCACACCAATTACCCACTGAAAGTCCTCCACCAGCTCCTGCTGCACTAGGAGTAAATTCAAGCTCTGTGCGCGGTCCACAGTGGCCTGCTCCTCCTCATTTACCTTACTCACTCTGGGGAGCACCGGCTCCTTCCCACTGCACCTGTACACTTTCTGTGCCCTTTTCCCAGAATCCTCATCTAGCTACTCGCTTGCTCCCTTCTTAGCTTCAAAGCCTCAGTGTGAGGGAATCTTCTCTACTGAGGTTCCCATAGCCCCCTGCTGTTTCCTTCAGAGTGTTATGTGTTTGTAAGTGTTGTCTCCTTCGCCAGATACTTTAAGTTTTCATTTGCTCAGATCAGAAAAATGTCAAGTGTTAATAGCATTCCAAATACCACCTATTGAGAATCCAGGTATTTCCATCCTTTCTTCCTTGACTCTTCCTACCTACTGGTTGTGTAACAGAGGATTATTCAACCTGCATACGAGCTAGTGCACTCAGAAGTGTACCTCTAGGTACAGCCAGCCTGTGCAGATGAAATCACATGTCTGCTGAGATGCTATGGATCCATCAGTGTATCCTGGGAAACTGTTCTTGTTTTCTCAGTCACTTCGTCAGACTGCTTACTCATAGTCAGATCCTCCAGATACTGAGATATCTCCATCTTAGATGTTAGTTTGCTTTCCTTTTTTTTTTTTAAATCTCTCACAGCCCAGAGTGAGAGCAACCTTATGTCATGACGTACTCTCTTGATTGGTCCATGTGTGCTTCACTTTTATTTACATGGTTCATTCTTTCTTTCTTATAGTTTATTATTTGGGAGGGTGGTACTGGGGAGTGAATCTGGGTCCTTCACACTGAACTGCATTCCCAGACAAGTTTTTGTTATTTTGAGACAGTTGCTAAATTGCTGAGACTGAGCTTGAATTTATAATCCTTCTGCCTCAGACTCCCAGACTGCTGGGATTACAGGACCGGCTAGGTAGCTACACTTAGTAAAGCAATAATAATTACAAAATAGCCACCCACTGTATACACTGTATGTAAACTTTCAGGTCTTACCTTTTTCTCTCCGCATCATATTATGAAGAGCATTCAGCTTGCTTTTTTGCAGAGGCGGAGATGCAGCTTTTTCCAGGGTGAGGCATTTGTGAGTAGTTCTGCTGTGTGCATCTTGCGCATATACCGTGTTATATGGGTGCACCTGTCTGGCCCCAGTGAATACCTGGGAGTGGAATCACTGAGGAGACAGAATGTCACATTTGGTAGATGTTCCACTTCATTTGCTGTCCCTGTAACAAAATACCCAGGGCTGAGTAACTTAGAAAAGACAGAAGTCTGTTGGGCCCATGGGTCCAGAGTCTGGGAAGTCCAAGAGCATTGCACCAAGAACATTTGTTCAGTGTCTGGCAGGGCCTCATGCTGTATTGTACCATGGCAGAGGCCATCCCTTAGTGAACACAGAAAGTGTCCCAGCTCAGGTCTCTCTTCCTCTCCTTACAAAACCACTAATGCCCACATGGGGGCGCCACACCTTATGACCTCATATAATCCTAATTACTTTCCAAAGGTCCCACCTCCAAGTGCCATTAAATATCATATTTGGAAATTAAGTTTTCTACCCTCAAATTTTGAGGAACACATTCAAACTATAGCAGTATGTTGTGGACTGTTTTCCAAGGTAGCCATCCCAGGGACATAGAGAACTTGGATCTCTTTCAAACAAATTGTCAAACAAGTCCCTCTTTGACTCTGCCTTCATGAAATTGATCTTATTAATCTTAAATGCAGAAGTTTGCGAATATCCTTCTTCACTGTTAATGCTGCTTTAGGCTCGTTCATTTGGACTGTTGAGTATATTTTCAATCCTGCTTTTTCCATTCATCATATTAACTACTTTTCCCAGCTTTTTCAACTGTTTAAATTCCGTTTGTACCTCTAGAAAATAATGGTTAGAGAATGCATTTTGTTGAATTCATTCTTATAGCATAAATATTAGACTTGTTCTACAGAAGAAGAAAGTGAAGCTCAGAGAAGTTGTTACCCAAATTTAAGAACAAGTGTCAAGCATGTTCTTTCCCTAAAATTGTATGTGCTCTTCACCGAAGGCCACGAGGGGAGCCCCAGTCTGTATCCCTGAACTCCTCACCTGCCAGCACCCCAGCTCCTCCTCACTCAGGGGTCCTGAGGTCTAGTGCCACTACACAGCCCCTTTCCCATCTTAGCATCCGTGCAGCATGGGGATGAGAGAACACCTGGCACTGGGGTTTAAAGCCAGCTCTGCGTCACAGTCTGAAGGTTATCTCCCTTCTGTGGTAACTCCTGAGGTCTCCTTCAAGCTCTCTGAGGCATAGTGTTTGCTTGGGGAAAGGGTTTACTGGGACAGGGTGTGCCCCACAGGACGCAGCAGGTGTAAGTGAGGATGGCCTGTGATATGTCCAGTGTAACTGAGCTGCATTAAATAATGGCACTTTTCTACTTCTTTACTTACAATGAACTAAATTCTGTTACCCCTCTTACCTACTTTTTCAGAAACTTGCATATGTATATTTTGGGTAAAAACACTTCAAACAAAAGCCTCATTTTCAGTGATCAAATCATAAGTTAAATTTAAAATGACTCACAGTTGTTACCGTCTCATGTTTTCACATTGAACTAAGACCATCTGACTCTTCATAGGTATGGAGGGTGATGAAGAAATTAGGCATTTGGATGAAGAAATAAAGGAACTGAATGAATCCAACCTTAAAATTGAAGCAGATATGATGAAACTTCAGACCCAGGTAAAAACTAATGCAGTATCTTTAGTTGTAATCTTTAGTGAAAACCAAAACACTGAACTTTCTAAATCTTGGGTCTGAAAATATCTGATGAGGGAATGTACTGGAAAGTTTCTGATTGCAAAATTACTGTAAAATCTCAATAGATGGATGGATCAACCCAGGTCACCAATTCCATAGCTGTGCACAGAGTTACTCATGTTTTGCCCGCCCTGGTTGTTTGAAGCCTTCTTTAGCAAACAAAGCAGAACATCCTACATTTAAAGAATCCTGTGGATCACACAAAGCTTTAGAAATAATCATTAAGTTGAGTCCTTAATTTTATCCCAAATTCAAATAAAATATTACAACTTTGTTTTCTAGAACAGTTCTGCAAGATGTATCAGTCTTTGTTAGAAACACATCCTACCAGACATTTTCTTGAACAAATTCTTGATCCAAAAATATCTAAGCAGTTTTTCAATGCTGCAGTCTCTAAAATTATTGCCTTTTTAAAATAAATGACAGCACAGATAAAATAAAGTATTCTGTAAATAATGGGAAAAAAGAATAATATAAGAATACAAGAGCAAGAAGCAATTTAAATATGTTCAGGGACCATTTTCATCTTTAGAATTAAGGATTATTTTAATTTTACATCATTGCCTTTTCTCTTTTACTTTCCCCTTTAGTTTTATTTTAGTATTCCTCATTTTTAATATTCATGCCGAAATTTCTTTAACTGAAATACTGAATAGTTTCTCTGGTGTGAAAACCTATAATAGTACACAAGATCCTAATGAGATAATTAATAATGTGAAATAGGAAGTAAAGGGCTAAAGGTGTAGGGAAAGTGGGAAGGGTGGGGGAAAGGTATAATAAGGGAGAGGAAAAAAATAAGAGAAAATGAAAAAATGGAAATAAAGTGTTTGTAAATGGGGAGGGGAGGAGGGGGTGAAGGGAGGGCAGGGACAAGGGGAAAAAATGAGAATCAAGACCTATTATATAAAGGTACAGGATCCCAATAATGAATGTAACTGTATTGTATACCTAGATTGTACCAATAAACTCAATAAAAAAACTTAAAAAAAATAAATAAAATAAAATAAACAAAAGTGCAGTCCAATATTTTTAAAACATTAATAATAACTGTTGCCTAAGTCAGAAGGAAAACAATAAGACCAATAGAGGCCTTGGATCCTTCTCATTTTCCTTCTCTTCTTTCCTGAAGTCAGGGGTCTTATTCCACCATGGCTGTGGACTTCACAGTCCTCAACTTGAGCAGCTGAATACAGTTTGAAACCATGTGAAATGCAGTTAGAGTTTTCTCACTGAGTGACACCATTGTAACAGTCTTCCGTGAATGTACATCAAGTCCAAAGAGAGCCTGATACTTTGGTTTGGAAATCATGGGAAACCCTCTCGCAAAGAAATTTCAAAGAATGCAAAACCTCTGCCCTTATGGAGCTTGAAGTCCAGAAGGAGGAGTCAGGCAATAAGCAAAATTAGTTATGCATGACAGATCCCTTTGTATTCTATAAAGAGGGAGAGTTTCATAAGTGACTGGATTTCAATATCAAATAGGAAAATCAGGCCCCAGAAAAAAGAAAATATCTCAGCAAAGACTTGAGGCTGAAGGAACTAATAAAACAGGTATGGGGGACAAATATTTCACACAGAAAATACACCAAATGCCAAATCCCTAACAGTGAGAAAGCCTAGAGATCTGGGGAAAAGCAAAGAGGAAGTCTGCAGGTGCATAAGCTAGGTGGGGGCAGGTCACAGGGGAAGGGTGCCAGAAGTGAAAAAGGCTGTTCACCGTGAGCACATTGGAAGCACCTAGGTTCTTATTCTGAAAGAATGCAGAGCCATCGTGGCATTTTGAGCTCATGAGTGATGCGGTCATATTTGACTTGCATGCTGACTTGCATTTGAAGAGATTCGTTTTGGTGGCTGTGTTGAGGAAGGGCCAAGAAGCCATTCCACAGGGCAAAGGCAAACATAGGCCCATCCGTGACATAGTAACTTGGCCCAGAGTGCAGCGGTATGGGAGGTGGGGTGGAGGGGCCGGTGGCCCCATCCCAGACGATATGAAGGAGGTACCCGATGGATTTAAAGTGTGAGAGAAAGAGATCCACAGCCATGATGGCTGAGCAACAGTTGGGTGCCGTCAATCTGTGGAAGGAGCAGATTTGGGGGGAATGTCAAAGATTTGCTTTGGACCATGCTGACTTTGACCACCATAGAACCATGCAGAGCATCTGGATCTCCAATGTATGGAGGTCTGGGCTGAAGACAGAAATCTGAGGATGGTTCTAACACTGAGCAGCACAGTGGCGCACACACAGTGGAATATGTAGCTCCTGGCATTTACATTCAGCTATGCATTTTCCCCAGAGAAAGGCCTTTTACACACCTTCCAAACTCCACTTCTCATATTCCCAAGTTATTTCCATTTTAGATCACGTCGATGGAGAGCAACTTAAAGACGATAGAGGAAGAGAACAAACTCATAGAACAGAACAACGAGAGTCTGCTCAAAGAGCTGGCAGGTCTGAGCCAGGCTCTCATCTCAAGCCTAGCTGACATCCAGCTTCCTCAAATGGTAAGTCAAACACTCCAACTCTGCTGTCCCATCACAGATGACTGCAGTGTCACCAGGCAGTTAGTGGCTTTCTCTTGGCATAAGTAGAACCTAGCTGTGAGGAGACTTGTCAACAGCTACAGAACTACTATGGCTCCATCATGTTCTCCCTTGCAACCACCTCTTCAGCTGGGAGATACACATATTTCTATTAAAGCCAAGGATATTCTTAAAGGCCAAAGTCATTTAAAATGAAGGTTTCTCTAGGCCCAGTGGCATGTACTTAGGCACTCTCCTACTCAGGAGCTGAGGCAGGAGGATTACAAGTTCAAAGCCAGCTTTGGGAAAGTTAAGGAGACCCTACATAAAGAAAGAGCAAAAGAAAGAGGAAGTGGGAGAAAAGAAAAGAAAGGGGGAGAATTTTATTTGAAGCTTGTTTTATAGTGTAACATGAAAACCAGGAATACATTTTCAAATAGAAGTTTCCAGGGCTCACAAAATCTGCATCTTGGCCTTTTGCATTATTCACTCAATTCAAGAACAACAAAGAACTTAATTTCCAGTAAACTTGGTGGTTTTTTATATCTTAATATGTAGAACATACTTCAGTTCTCCCCATATAGAGTAAAAAGCAAAAAAATGAGCAAGACATCCTTATTTCAAAACTCTACACATTTTTAAGGTATGGAATGATTAAGACTTTATTAAAATTAGTTTCTACATCATCATAAATCTAAATAAATCTGAGGAGGAGAGGTTGCATTGCTGAATGTTTTTTATTTCTTCTGAGCCTACATTCTTAGAACAAGGTTTTTAAAAGCTTCCAGTTTTATGTATAAAATAGTTTAAAGAAGCAGCAATGTAATGAAGAAACATAATATTTTTGCTTAAAACAATAAATCCCTCAATCTACCCAACTTCCTAGCATGGAGCCTTCATCTTAACCAACTCCAGAAGTTCTTTTTTACTGAAAAAAGTCAATAATATAATAGTAAGCACAAAAGAAGATAAATTTTATTTTATGGCTGTTTAAGGTAATTATTGGGTGTTATTATAACTACTATTTACTAAAATTTGTCTCACTCATGCTTCAAATGTGTATTCCTTAAGTTTCTCTACTTAAGCCTTAAGGAAGACAGACATCATATAAGTTATCTTGTGCCTTGCACTGTTAGCACACAGGATACTCTAGTGGTGACTTTTAGGGCTGCTCACATAAAATGTTCCCAAGGCTCCACAGACAGAGCTGGCATTCTCATTCCATAGTGAAGGAAATCATGAGAGAGTTTCCATCATAGGATCAAGGTTCCAAGCTGGCACAAGTCAGGAGGGCTTGGCTTCATGGTGTGGTTTTTATCAACTCCGTTCCTTGAGTCCTCGTCCCTTTTCAAGATTCTCCAAGATGCACATAGCACAACAATGGCAGAAACTAAAAGCAAATAGAAAATCAAGATTGGACATATTAATAATTGTGTATTATTAATACTAATAATTGATACTAATAATTGAGTGTAGTATTTTGCTGAACACAGTTAGTCTTAAAACTTAGAAAGTTTTCTGTGTTCCTCATCCCTGGGACAAAATACCTGACACTCACAACTTAAAGGAAGAGAGGGTTTTTTTTTGGAGGATCCAATCCAGCGCTGTCTGGCTGGCTTACAGGTAGGAAGGGCATGGTGGAAGGGGCTGGCTGAAGAAAGCTGTTCTCACCATGGCAGCCAGGAGGCAGAGAGCAAGAAAGGAGGAGCCGAGGAGGAAGACAGACACTTCCAGATCACGTGTCCAGTGGCCTCCCTCTAGCCAGGCCCTAACTGCTACTGACAGCGCTCATGAAAGAATCCACTGATAAAAATATAGCTCTTCCATAATCCAGTCATTGTCCAAAAGCCTGCTTCTGAAAGCATTAGAATTTGGAAGACATTCTAGATCTAAACCATAACACTGGCCTTCTAAATAGTAACAATGGCTAGAATGTCCTGTACACCTACAGTGTTCAGACTTTGTAAAAGACATTTCTTCCAAAGCTGTTGTGAGCTAAGGTACCAGTGGTGGTTCTCAAGAACTAGAGAAATGGAGGCACCAACAGTGTTTGGTACACCTTCTTTGTGCCGCACATTTCCTGACTCGCATGCACGCAATATACACATATCCAGCATGTACTCTCTTTGAAGCATCACATTAGGCAAAGGAAGAAGACACCAAATCACCAAATAGGATGACGGTTAAAACACCTTGACTCTGTGAGACTAGTAGTCTACCTAAAGAGGTGAGAAATAAAAAGTGTATATCGCAATGGTGCTACAAAAGAAAAGTGAACAAAAGGGAGTCTGAGAAGGAAATAGAAAAACTCTCCATCACACTTGGTCAGTGAACAACTAGCTTATATCTTAAACTCCTGAAATTCCAGACTGGAGATGTTAAAGGAGTCACTTGGCACAAGCAAACCTTCCATTCCATCCTCACCAACAGTTACCTTCCTCCGATGCAGATCTCCTGCGCTAAACGTGTGAAACTGAGGCCAAGGCCCCTCCGAGGAGGTCAGACGGTACTGAAGAGTCCAGTTCAGCAGCCAGGCATACATCTTACATGGCTCCGAATTGACCCCAGTACTTTTCATTCATCCCACGAATGAAGAGAGAACAAGTGTATCCTAACATACTTCAGCCTCTCTCTCCATCTCCCCTAATCCAGCAGTCAGATGAATCCTTGTCTCCCCTCCCAGACACCTGAGTCACCCGCATTCTCCCTTGTCACTTGCTCCTCTTTTGCCTCACTATGACTGATTCGATCAATGTGTTTCATCTCCATTTAGGGCCCTATCAGTGAGCAGAATTTTGAAGCATATGTAAATACACTCACAGACATGTACAGCAATCTGGAACGAGACTATTCCCCGGAATGCAAAGCTCTACTGGAAAGTATCAAACAGGCAGTGAAGGGTATCCATGTGTAGTAGGATCACGGTGCTGCCGGCAACAGAGATTACCAACAGCAGTGAACTCCAGATGGATCTGCGAGGGGCGCGTGGGCTGCTGAGGCCTGGAAGTTGCCGTACTGCATTACAAACTCAACATTGCACTATTTCCCCCAGCCAACATAAAAAGGAAAGAAAAAACTATGATAGACTTTTTGGAATAAAAGTAATGCAGTCGTTTATTAGATCTTATTTATTTTCATATGTTTTCCTTTTATTTCTCATTGCACTCTTTGTTTTGTAAAGTATATGTAAAATAAATGTGACATTTTATATTTTATTTATTACTAATCAAAGAATTTTTTATCTTTTAACTGCATTTTGAAGTCTGCCATATTTTTACAAGTATGTTTATTAATTTATTTTCTAATAGGATTAAAATAGAAATGCTATTCTCAAATCACCTATCTTTCTGGGTTTCCATGAGCAAAAAAAAAAAAGGAAATCCGTGTCTAAAGACTGCACTATGGTTGAGTTTGATTTTTATTGCACACTTCCTTTTTTCTCCCTTGAACTGGTTTTTGTAGTATTTATAAATGAGTTTGCAGTAAGGTGAGCTGCATAGGATTAAGAAGATAAATGGCGCCGCCTAGTGGGCAATCCGCACTCACAAAAGCACAGGATGCTGGACAACAGCCTGCTCAGATTTTGTTAGCAATAATTAAACATAGCAATCAGCAAAGTACTCAGCTTGGCTGCACAGTTTTAGTTAATATGAATTATTTATTTGAAATGTTTTAAAGAAACATAAGCTTTTTTAGTGAGGCAAATTTGTCTGTTTGTTTTTCAAGTCATACCAGATAGTTGGCAACTCTTGTTCCAAGACAAGAAGACTTGGTATGACCATCAGGCTTTCCTGCCATATGTTGGTACAATATACAAGGACAATATCGGTGTAGATTTGTACTTAGCGAATATGAACACATCCAAATGGAAAATTCTGTAGATACCATATCCCCTGAAATAGCATTTATCTTAACTGCGTTGACTGGAAAGGAATGGAAAGTGTAGTGAGACATGAAAAAAAACGCTAGTCTAATTTGAATAATTGCTTTGAACACTGGCAACATTGGCATCATCCTTCTTAGAAACTAAGACAACATTCAGTTTGGTGAAAATATTGCCATTGGACTGCATGTGGTACCAAGTATACACACACACACACACACACACATGCACACACTCACACGCATGCAGGCACACGTGTATACACACTCCCAGACACTCATCCACACATAGATTGAGCCCACAATCTTGAATTTCTGAATGGATCAGAGTTTAGTAGTTGCTATAGTAAAGGCAATGTCTATTTCAGGGATTGTAAAGTAGTTAAGCATTGTTTCAAAAGTTTTTTTATATTTATTTTTTTTAAGGAAAAGGTATAGACAACCAGCTAAACTGCCTTTTTGGTGTGCGCACACATTTCATGTGCAGATGTGCCTCTGTGTAAATGTTCACATGAACTTAGTGTGGGCTTACTTTTCTGTGCTATAACAAAAGTGTTTATTTTTTATTAGCCTCATGGATATTCAGACTGAATGTGATGGCGTTCACAGGCTTGGTATATTCCACTGTTATTGCTGTTACCTGCACAAATACGTGAGAAGTAACACTCACACTCGGCAGTAACCATACTCCCATGAAGCCATGGTCATTGTTATGCATTAAGTGGGGCTTATCTTTGGTTTGGGGTTCATTTGAACTCCGGAATCTTAGTTTAGTGAAAATGAGATGTTTGTTCTTAGATAGGGATGGTGTTTATTTTAAAACCAATTTTTTAAAAAGCTACCATATGTGCTGTCTATTATAAATTGGACACAAAACAAAATTTTCTATTAAAGTCATGTCCTTGCAAACATTTTGCTATATAGTACTTCATAGATGCACACAAATGAGTTTCCTTATTACAAAACAAAAATTTAATTTGCTAAATATTTTAACAAGTTTGTTATATATTTTATTTAATTTAAAAAGAAATCTGTCACCAACCTATGTATTTATTACTATAATTTACTATGCCTTCAGGTTAATTTATTTGTGTTTGCATAGTTCGAGTGAGATGTTTTGTGAGTGGTATTTATTTGCCTACTTTGTATTTGATGTATTTTGTAATGTGCACTGATTTATTTTCCTTTTCAACTATGTTATTGATCAATACTGTAAATTGGGTCTTTTGTAAACAACAAAAAGGCAATGATGTATGCATTTTTTTAATTTGAGTAGTTTGTTTGTATACTTTCTCCAAACAATTAATATTTCTTACATCAAAGCAACAAAATTGTGTTCAGTGCTGTACCTTTGGTGTATGGTAGGAAATAAAAATTGATAATGAGTTTTGCTGTGCTCTCTCTCAGGCTGCTATATGGTCGGTATCACCATCCCCAGACCAAAGTTACACAACAGCCCCACTGAGGTAGAGAATGCCTTTGAGCTGTGCGTTATTATGACAACCAGCCTGTTGTGATTGTTCTTTTTCCTCCCAAATGAAGGATGTTGGCCATAGCTGGGCCCACTTGAAGATGGCCTGAGCTTCCAGCATGAGGGATGCCTTTGACACCAGTAAAATATTTGCTATTATCAGGAAATTCACCCAGATCTAGTGAGCAGAAGACACAGCCCCCAACTTCTTAACACCAGAATTACTTTAGATACTGAGTATCCCTGTTATGGACACAAACTAGTTGAACTCCTAAAGAAAAAAAAAAGGTAACTCTTGACATTGCCTAATTTGCTTGTGTGTTTTTCTAACATAATGCCAAACCATGTAACTTAATTTTCCAGTTTCTGCCCAAACTTACCCATCCCTAGGTAAGCCTGGTCATCACATAGGCAATATGGTAAAGTCCATGTAATCTGTGTAATGAAGTTAAGTTGACCAAAAGGAAGTCTAGGTCCTCAGAAGCTATATTTGAGGAGACATTCGTTAAGCAGGGCTTGGAATGCCACAGTTGGTGCACAAGGTAGCTTTCTTTTAATCAACAAGTTTAATTGTAAAGGATACACCTGTGAATCATCCTGTGAAATTAGATCACAGAATGCAACCTATTCCGCTAGGTTCTTAGCTGCCCCTTTCCTAAGTATGTTTTTGTGTATCACCCTGACTGGGATATTATATCAGTAAGTAGTGTCTTCAATTCTGTCACAAAACTGTCATAAGAGGAATCCAGTCCTACTGCAAGCAAGAAAAGAGGACTGAGTCAGATGCATCCCCTCCCACACAGCTCTTTAGTTAGAACAGTGGTATCAGGCCCACTTCCTGGCCTCCATGTAAATTCAGCCTCTTGACAACTAGGAAAGGCGTGAGTATTATAATCAGGGTAGGCACGGGCTCCTGCTAAAACACTGTGAGGGTTCTCTAACAAACTTTGATTTCCTGGGAAAAGTTCCAGTTACAGACTGGTCAGGAATGTTTGAGAAAAGTCATTGCTGTGGGAAAAGTGTGTGTAAAAGCATGTGGTGAGACACAACATCCAGCAAGCAGTTATTCAGGATGGCAAAAACAATTGGTAAGAAATGAAAAAATAGAAGGTAAAAAGGTAAGTAGGAGGGGAAGTTACAGAATAAACTGCCACTTTTCAGAGTTCTGGTTTGTACAAGTAGATTTCATTGTGCAAAAGAAAGAATTAAAATAGAAACTGGGTATTGGGCTCAGTAGTACTGCTTGCCCAGTGTGTAGAAGACCCTGGATTCAATGTGAAAGAAGAGAAGAGGGGAGGAAGGGAGGGAAGGAGAAGGAGAGAAGAGGACGAGGCAAAGAAGGGAAAGGAAGGGAAAGAAAGACAAGAAAAACAGGAAAAGAAAGGAAGGACCAAATCAGAGAATGACAGGATAAAATTTCCATCAGGCATTAATTGTTCCAGCAATTCAAATAATTAGCATATTAAGAAAGTAAAATTGTGTTCAGTGCTGACTACATAGGCTATAATAACAAATAAAAATCAACAATTAGTTTTTTTTCTGTGGTTATTATCAGGCTACCTATCAGCACCCCATGAAAAGTCCTTGGGTCTTTAGTTGTAAGACTAAAATATTTCTATTGGTACCAAAGTCCTGAAAAAAGAAAGGGGGTGAATGACTTTTTGATTTGCCCCATTAAAAGAAGATTTCAGAATTTGCTTGTTCTAGTACATAATTTTTTTCATTGAGTTCATTGGCACATTTTAAGTATATAGTACAGTTACATTGATTACTGGGATCTTGTACCTCTACATGACAGGTCTTGGTTCTTATTTTTCCCCATTCCCCTGCCCTCCCTTCACTCCCTTCACCCTCTCCTATTTACAAAGACTTTGTTCCCATTTTTCTCTTTTCTCATATTTTTCTTGTCCCTTATTTCTTTTTCCCTACTCTTTCTACTTCCTCTACACCTTTAGCCCTTTTCTTCCTATTTCACATTTTCAGTTATACAATTTGGATCTTATTTACACTTTGTTTTTCACAACAGAGGAACTATTTGGTATTTACACGTGTGTCTTATTTATTGCACTTAAGAATATGACCTCAATATGCTTCCATTTTCCTATAAATGACTCTAATTTATCATTCTTTATGGATGAGTAGTACTCTGTTTTATAGCAAAACTACATCTTCTTTATCCAGTCTCCAGCTGATGGGCAATTGAGCTGTTTCCAAGTTTTGACTATTACAAACTGTGCCACTACAAAAATGGGTGAGTGTATATTGCTGTGCTATGACTGTTTTAATTCTTTTGGAAGGATACCCAGCAGAGGAATAGCTGGATCAGATGGAACCTCTACTCCCAGCTCTTTGAGGTGTCTCCATATTGATTTCCATATGGCTTTACCAGTCTGCACTCCCACCAACAATGGAGAAGGGTTCCTTTCTCCCCACATCCCCACCAACATTTGTTATTGGTTGATTTCCTGATAGCAGCCATTCTTTGTGGGGGTGAGGTGGAATCTCAGTGTTGTTTTCATCTGCATCTCTCACATGACCAGAGATGTGGAATATTTTTTCATATATTTATTTGCTGCTTTTACTTCTTTGTCTGAGAAATGTCTGTTCATTTCAGATGCCCATTTATTAATTGGGTCTTTATATTTCGGGGGCTGGTGTTTTTAGTTCTTTCTATATTCTAGATAATAGTCCTTTGTCTGAGAAGCAGCTGGTAAAAATTTTTCCTGTGTTGTAGGTTGTCTCTTAGCTCTG